GTTTTTTAAATAGGTTTAATACATTTTCATTGATTGTAGCCACTATGTTGTTAAGCTTAAATTGTCTTCTCATTGGCTAGTTGGAAGCCCCTTCAACTGGCTCCCATTTCCTTCTGCAGTTTTATTTTTAAAGAAGTCTCATAAACAGAAATTAGTTGAGTAATCTTAATCTTATTTGAAGACCTCAGTCATTTATTCTTAATGTAATTATTGATCTATTGAATTTAAATCTACCATCTTGTTATGTGCCATCTTTTTATTCTTTTTTGTCTTTTTCTTTACAATCTTAGCTTCTTTTTATGGTTTTGACTATTTAAAAGAAAAATAAATTCCTGTTTTCTTCCTGTGCCAGTGTAGGAGTAAAAAATCCTTTTTATCTTTTAAAAGTTATCCTTGAAATTTTAATGTAAGTACTTAACCTACCACAGTATAAAGTTAGGTGGTATCTTTGCTTTCTACCTAGATTATACAAGTATCTTAGAACACTTTGATTCCATTTACTCCCTCAGACACACATTCTATTTTTTTCTTCTATTTGATTTCTATTTTTTGGAAACTAAAAAAAATTATTGTATTTGTGTTAAACAATCAATATTCACCCAACATTCATCATCTTTTGCTATTTATTTCTCATATCCTAGATATTCTATTTGGTATCGGTTTTCTTCTGCTTGAAGTATATCCTTTAGAAATTTCTTTACTGATGTTTTTCAGTGATAGCAAACTCTGTTTCTTAAANTATATCCTTTAGAAATTTCTTTACTGATGTTTTTCAGTGATAGCAAACTCTGTTTCTTAAAATCTTCAGTCTTTCCTGGTTCTGGAATTCTAATTTGGTGTAGTTGTTATCTTTCAGCACATAGTCTGCTGAATTTATTGTTGCTTTTGAGAAGTCCTCTGTCAGGCTAACTCCTTTGAAGGTAATTTTTCCCCCTTTGTATGCTATTAAGAAGTTTTTGTTTGTCTTTGGTTTTCTGCAGTTGGACTATAATTTGTCTATGTGTGAATACCTTTTTATTTATTAGTCTTCCAATTTGTTGGGCGTCTTGAATATGTGTGTACTCTAAGCTAGTGTTCCTTCAGTGATTGCTTCTGCCCTTGTCTCACTCCTCTCATTCTGGGATTCCAGCTACGATTCTTAGACCTTCTCACATGTGATCTTTATCTCTTTAATTAGTTTGTGTATTTTTGTCTCCTTATGCTACCTTTTGGATACTTCCTTCTGATCTATCTTCACATACATGAATTCTCTTTTCAGCTATATCTGAGATTACCTTATATTTTCTCCAACATCTATTCTTGTCCTCAGTGAGAGGGTTGGTCCAAATAACATAGGTCATCATTATTGGAAATTGTAAGCCTTTCGTTGTATCTTTGAATATGTTTAAAAAATTTTTAAAATTTGGTTTATTCTCTTCAAGGACACAGTAATGTGTAACACAAAATTCTTCTATCTTATTTCCACATCCCCTCATTCCTTTCTCACTAACCCTTTCTACTATCTATTTATTTCCATTTAATTTTGTTCACTTTTCATTACCTTTCTTTTCATGTCCTTATAGCTGCTTCCAGTTTTGGCTTAATATTTTCTATTATATTTGACTTTAAGAAAAACTCTGCCAGGTCATATTTTAGCTCCTTATGTTTTCTTATCATGTCATCTTTGAGCACTTTTAGTTCTGTTTTATGCTCTCAATTTATAAAAGTGATTGTTTCGTGGAAATTTTTAACTTT